GGTCTTGATATTTTTAAGCAAACCTCCCTGAAATGTGAGGTTTCTGTGTTTACTGTGATGGTCTTGGTTTGCTCTTTTGGCCATTATGACGTAGAAATCTTGGTAGTGACTTGAAATCCACTATCTACAGCTTCTTTTGGAGGTGGGAACAACTAATGGCTTTCAATGTGCAATATGGGTTTCGTAAATCTATACTAATGGTAAAATAAGTTGCTTTCAGAAAAAAAACTAGCAAATATGACAGCACGTTATAAGTTAATGAAGAAAAGAACATAAAATAATAATAATAATTACTAAGTATGGGAAACAAAGTTTTAAAAATTCAGCCCTGATTAAAATTAAGGGGCCCAGATCCATTTTCAAAGACCAAGCAAAAAGGGTGACTTTAGAGCTGAGAGGCAATAAACTTATAATTGGCACAGAGATCAAGGAACATCGGCCATGTTCCATGTCAGCATCATGGATCAGAAAACAGTGGTAGAAGTTAGAAGTAAAAGAACCCAAGAGTCCACTAGGATACAGAATTGGACTGAGAAATAATCTCCACTGCAATGAAAGACTCAGAGACATCACTACCTGCTCTCCTTCTACCCCAGGTCCTGGAAAGGACTTGGCTCACACTAGACACCCAAGGAGCATTAGTGAAATAAATGAACAAACAAAATGAAATTTAATTCCCTAGTGTCCATGGAAATACAGAGTGAAGACGCAGAATTTCCCTATGGATGTGGAAGAGGAATATTAGCCAATTATCTATTTTTAGCAAAATTTCAAAAGGTTAAATTGACTTCAGTTAGTGTGTGTGTAAAAAAAAAAATGGGGATGTAATTAACGAAAACAAAAGTCTACTACCTTTAAACGATATATTTTCAGGTGACTTTTAGAGTCTTTTTCATAATGCGTAGATATATAATTTTATGACAATTATGTTCATTATAATTAATTTTAAGGCAGCACAAACTAAATGACAAGCAATGAGCAGATGGGATATTGATTCTCAGGTTACCAACTGTTGCCCTAAAATGACTTTCACTCAGATCCTAAGCCTGGGATCGATGCCATAATCCCCAAGAACAGGAAAGGGCAAGGAGAAAAACCAGAACACATTGCATCGCTAGTTTGTACATGCTGAAATACAGGGGCTGTTTCTCTAAGAGAAATCTGCAGAATCTGCTGTCAGGCATCCATCCCACCTCATTCCGTCCCTTCTCTGAGTCCACACATCACAATTATGACCCCAACCAGCCTCCCACCTTAGTGGTCCTGCCAGCTGCTACCTGGGGCAGAGCTCAGAGGTCAGATTTATTTTTCTGGAAGAGGCCCCAGTGAGCTTAGAGAATATTCACCAAAATGATGGTTCCCGTTTCCGTAATTCTGTCTGAAAAGCAGCATCTGAGCTGTACCTTATGTATCATCCCAGGGCTGGTGTGTCAGGACAGCAGCTATCAGGGAGGACAAATGATGTGGCATCTGGGAAAGGGCAATGATCCAAACCACAGGGCCCCAGAAGAGGGATGGGGGAGCCCAGAGCAGGGCATCCAGCCTTACTTATGCTTTCCCATCACCAATTTTCCACCTCTTTTCAAGAAATGCTCCCAACCACAAATGCAAGTAAATGAAAGAGGCTTTTGCTTTGATATCGAGGGCTGGCTTTGCCAATCAATATCCAATCCTGCAGGGAGGGTGTGGATAGGGCTCAGGCCTCTGGTGCAGTCACCAGAGAGGGTGTGCTGCTTCCTTCCTACATGCCAGAGTTGTAGGCTTGAGATTAAGGAGGGCCGAGAGAGGGGGATGGGACCCCTGAGAGAAGAGAGACATTTTTTGCTAAGGTAGTCCATCAGGTAAAGATGTCAGCACCTAAACAAAACAAGGAGGGTTGGGTGCAGTGGTTCATGCCTGTGATCCCAGCACTTTGGGAGGCCAAGGTGGGTCATCACTTGAGCCCAGGAGTTTGAGACCAGCCCGAACAGCATGGTGAAACCCCATCTCTACACAAAAATACATAAATTAGCCAGAAAGTGGCATGTGCCTGCAGCCTCAGCTACTTGGGAGGCTGACATGGGAGAACTACCTGAGCCCAAGGAGGTCAAGGCTGCAGTGAGTCATGATTCTGCCACTGCACTGCAGCCCGGATAACAGCATGAAACCCTGCTATAAGAAAAAAAAAAAGGAAAGAATAGAAAAAGAAAAAAATAAAGAAAACAGGGGGGGTATCCAAGAAGAGACTTTGCAGGCAAGGGTGGGTCACAGGACTTGGGTTTGAGGTCTATCTCTGTCATCTGTTGACACCAGGATCTCAGGCAAGCAGCTTTCCCTCTAGGTTGTGTGCTTCTCCCTATGGGGGAAATAATAGTTCCTAACCCACTAAGTTCGGCAACACCGATAATACAGATAACACACTCAGCAAAGTATTGGCAATTGCAAATACCTAAATAAATGTTACTGCTTAAAAAACAAAACAAGAAAAGCAGAAGGAAAGCCCAGAGCCCCAGAGAAAAGATAAAAGTTTCAGAGATGTCATGAGTGCAGTGCTTTATGCTCATATACTTGCAGGTCCATGGACCCAAATGTGGGTAAACTGAGTCAGTGTGCATCATCTCTATACCACCTCAACAATCTGAACAACTGGGCATCAGCAGCCATTGGTGGACAGTTTATTTTCCTTTAATAACTTCCTTAATGATCTCTGCCTACAGATGGACTCGTCTATTAAAATGAAAGCAGGTGTGAGTTGCAAACCTCATGCTCTTTCTACAGCTGAAAGTACAACCAAGGTTGTAGCCGGCTGCCTTCTCAGGGTGGTACTGAAGCCTTCTCCAAGTAGCATTTGGGAGGTAATTTTTCTGAGAGTCCAAGTGGCACAGACATCTTAAAATCTGAAAATGATTCACTGTGGTTAAACATTTATTGGCAACTCATAAAATGATAAGTTCCTCCCATCCCTAGCAGGTATCCAGTAGGAATCTTTGGAAACAATTGTTGATTTGAAAGTCCAGTGTCTTGTATCCTACACTGAGAACATTATAATGAGATGCAAGGGAACTAGAAACAAAGGAAGGCATGTATGCATCGCTGTCAGCTGATCTTTCAGAAGTATGCTGAAATCTGCAAAGCTTTTTCATGTTGCTCATTTGCCATGATTTGTTACCTTCACCAAGATAAATACAATTATCTTTTACCCTAGTTCTTCTACCACTGGCTGGTCTAAAGTGAGATAAAACAACCTCAGGTCTGTTTTGCCTTTGGAGATTATGCAGGGCATTTATGAGGAGGTGACTGGGTGACTTTATCCAGGATCAACTCATGTGACATATGCCCTTTCTCCATTGTTCACTAATAAACACCAATGGCCCATACCATCTACTCCACTGGCACAAGAACAGTTATTCAGAGCTATTAAATAGATACACACGTTACAGTCACAGTGAATGAATTTATCACTGAAATTCCTTTGTCCTTTGGTCAAGAACTGATACTGGACATCACATTTCTCCTTATTTCAATGGAACTCGTCAAAATCTCCAAAAATTACGTTCAGAGATGTCTTCCTTAGCCTTGTGTTCACTGATGCACTCATGAAGGTGATGTTCTGTGGACATCCAAGAATCATCACCCCCTCCAAAGTCTGACCCACCATTGGCTGGCCAGTGGCCAATCAGATAATCTCAACGGCATGAACCAACAGTAGGCTGTGGGAACTGCACTGTGATGTCACAGAACCTGGGACGTGCAGCCCTGCTGGGCTAGGACAAGAGGTAGAGGCAGGGAAAGAGAGGAGCCATTCTGAGAAGGAAGAGACAGGTGGCTTTTCTATGTTGGTGCCTTGCGGTTGAGCTCTTTTTTTAACTGTACACTCCTGGATCAACCCCAGATGAACCACTATGGCCTTCAGATATCCTTTGATTCTTGGATCTCCCGAAGTAATTATCTCTCCTTCTCGATATAATAAGACTCTCCCTGGAAGACCACGCCAAGATCTTCTGGTAACTTTTTGAACTTAGGCAAGTTACTTAACTTCTCTGGGCCTCAGTTTCCCCATCTGTAAAACAGCAATGATAACCCTCCCCCTATTCCCCAGAGTTGTCCTGAGAACCAAAATAACAAATTCATGCGAGAGATTTGTGTATATTGCCTGAGACACAAAGCGCACTTAGTAACAATGACTGCTTATACTGGGTACTTCATTTTTCTGAATGACTAATGGGAGATTGGAATTAAGATGGGGTTAACCTGCATCCAACCTGCTTCTCCCTCTGCTTTGTGAATGGCACAGTGGTGTGGTAGTTAATAGGAGAAGCTCTGTGGCTGGTCTGAGGTTAATGAGGTTGCCTCATCGCCAGACAGGTATTTTCCTCGCCTAACGAGGCAAGTGGCTCCAGGGTGGGTTTGCGTGAGGTATGTGGATGTGCTTTGGTCAAGAATTAGGCCAAGGCAGACATCAGGCCTGCAGGACTGCGGGATTCGTGAGCAGGTGCACACCTCCACTTATTCAACAACCTGACTGTGTAAGCTCAGACTTGGCTCTATGCCACTATTGTCTATAAAGGTATAATCGTCCTGCTGATGCTGCACAGGTGTTGTTGGTCTTGGCTTCGCTTGGCAAGGCATGGCACAGCTTGGTGCTGGTGCCCAGAGAGAGAATATGAAAGTACTGATGCTTATAAGGGAGAGCTACTCGCCTTGAAGGTGGGCAGTGGGAAGCCAGGAATGGGCTTGTAAAAAAACAGAAAGAGTTAGGGAGCGAGTGCAGCTGCAGACCTGGGGGTGGCAGGAGCCACAGAGCCAGAGCAGACAGCCCAGAGGAAGGTGGAGAGTGTGAGAGAGCTGCTGAGGAGAGAGCTTCTGAATGGAACCATATTCGCCTGCCTGCAGCCCCCGAGGGTTCTTTCACCTGTCCATCCACTTCCCTCAGACATTGACATAGACATGACAGCTTGTGACTCAGCAAGTCAAGAACTTAGTAGGCTCAAAAATTCTTTTGGCTTTTTCCTCACAGGCATGAGATGGCTGCCAAAGCTACAGCAGTCTAGCCTTCACTTAAATCACCTGAAAATAGAGCCGCAGGAAGAGTTCTCCTCCTCTCTCTTTCCTCCTCCTCCTCATTCTTCAGCCCCTCTCCCTTTTTCTTCTTTCCCCCTCTCTCTCTCCATCCCTCCCTATTTTCAGGAATGTAAAAAATCCCCAGAAGTCCCAAGCAAACTTTCTAGCTGCAGGCCACATCGCCATGCACTAGCACCAAGAGATGCTGAGAGATGGATATCTGGGAAAGAAGGAATCCGTGAGCGGGGAGAGAGGGCTGGGAGGGATGCTGGGTGGCCAACGCAGGGTGCCGTCCCAGGGATTCCTGAATTCTCCAAGGACAGGACAATATAAACCCTGGCCTCGATATAAACCCAGGTGTTGAGCAACTAAAGTCCTAGGGAAAGATGCATAGAGCTTGTTCTACTTGAAAATCATGGGCATCACAGAACAGCCAATAATACAGGCTCACAGCAAGGCAGAGGAATCTGGATGCCTGCTAGCTACCTGTGAGTCTCTTCTGCAATGCAGGTTCATCACAAACTGTTCAAGGGCTTCACTTTGCAGCCCCTGAGCGTGGGGGCAGGGCCATGTGGTTAGTTCCCACTAAAAGATGTGAGCAGATTGGTGTTTCACTTCGGGGATCAGGACTTTCTATGCTGAAGAGACGGGCATCTGGGAGAGAGGAAATCCATCAGCAGGGAGAGATTCCTTCTCACACTCTTCTTTTCTTCAGTGACTTTAGAAACCCTGTGTTCAGTATGATGAAGCTACAAGAGGGAATGCATCATATCCCTCGAGTGACCATGTGAGAGACAGGGCTGTGAATGAAAGCCAGAGAAAAAACAAGCACATTGGGCTGTATAAAAAAAAAAAAAATCCCATGGTTTTATTGCTGGACTGCTGACAGGTGTGGGGTGGTTGCTATAGGACATTAGCCTATCTGGCCAATACACATATCCGGTCTCCAGGACATGAACCAATTTAAAGAAGAAAGAAGCTGAACATCCAGTTAACATCTGGTTGTTGACTAGTTTCAATGCAACAGTTTTATCTGCAAGCAAATTTGTGTGTAGACGTGGCCAGATACACACAATTACACCTTTCTGCTCACTGCAAAAATATAGAAAAACAGTACCAAGAATGATGCTTGAATGGTGAATCTTTCAGAGTATTGGCAGGAAAGACATGACAGACTAAAAAGGGGAAAGTGATGAGGGTCTAGGGAATGGACTATTTGCACAGATCAGAGGAGACCTGAAGGTAAAAACAAGGGACAGAGAAGCGCGTCGGGGTGATAGTAGGAAGCCCACTCTCTCTGGGCCAGAAGGGAATGGAAAGGAGTATGTGTGTGGGGCCCAGAGGGAGCTGCAACTATAGGATATGGACACACAACAGGAGCTGTGGTCTCCAGCAGAACAACTCAGGCTCTGCCACCTGCAGCCAAGCAGTGTGGTAGGCACCTTGATATGCTGCTACCCAGACCCTTTTTGGATGAAGGGTATGTTACTGTAGCTTCAAAGAGTGCTGTCACAGTATGTAGACTCCAGCTGCAGCCCCTTCAGGGAGTGTCTGAGCTGCTGAGAGTCATCATCCCCAAGGACAAGCCCAATCCCAGAGGGCCCAGACAGTGAATGGATGCCATCGGAGTATAATGGCTGACCATCTCAGCCCACCTTAGAGAAATTGCTAGGATCATCCTATATCCCAAGCTCAACCTAGAGTTGGCCATGCTTTTCTGGGCCTGCCTCAGAGCTCAACCTTTCCCTGTGCCCACTCCTGCTTTCTTTCCTTCCTTTCCGAGGAGTGGCTCCCAGAGTCACTCCCCAGTAAACATCCTGCACACTAACTTTTATTCCAGAGTCTTTTTTCCTCAGTGAACCGCACAGGGATTGGGAGAGAAAGCCAGGTTGCAAACACCCTCACGTCTCCCTCTCTTCCTACTCTTTTACCTGCCGGCACCACCCATTGGCCAAATCCAACTGAAAACAAGAGGGTGAGGAAACTGAGATGATTTGTTTAAAATAGGGCTTGTTTAAAATAGGGCTCGACAAGGGTGGGGAATACATGTTTGTTCTTTTAACCGTAAAAGGAGCTCGTGTATCCAGGGAGGAAGGAGAGTGGGAAGCCGTTGGCTGATGGTGTAGCAAAAGCAGTGCCCCTAATGAAAACAAATATCTGGATAATAATTTGGTCCATATGAACAGCCAGATGCTGATGAGAGTTTATACAGTCCCTTGTTAACACGAATCTGTTTTTCTTTTGTGGTTTCCTTTAAGAATCAAAACTTCAGAGCACAACGTGGGTGATGCATGTTATCCACAGACTCGTGTTCCTCTAGCAGGATATCTCATTCCAGACAAAAACCTGGAGGTCACCTGCAACCCAGGTTGTCCCTCGTATACTCCAATCTGGTCAGTGAGCATCTGTCATGCATGTGCCCAGCAGTGGGTCGGTTTCCATGGGGCACACCTGAGACCCTAGTGCCTACAGATGTATTTGTTTATCCTGCACAGTATTTAGAAAATGAAGTGTTTGACAACATTTGCAAATTGGAAGATTTTAATAAAAATGTGGAATTGTGGTTTTCCTTGGAGAGGTCAATGCTGTGGTGCCACAGGGACCTCAAGCCTACTGAGTGGCAGCTGTCTTGCAGGCCCCACCTCTCCCTATCGCCCCCGTCACAGGAGTGGAGTATTAGATGCTGTTTTTCACTGCACATGAGCAGAGCTAAGGGAAGAGTCAAGTGTTTCTTCTGCCAAATCCCTATCCAAGTGGGAAAATTAAAAGTAGGATGGACCAGATGTTTCAAGAAAAGTGAGAGGGAGCATATTTCTTCGAGGTAATGATAAATATTCCTTCATGCCCCATATGTAATTGTGTCTGTGGTATAAGGGTATATTATGCTCCACCTGTTTCCTCCCCAGCTTGGCCTGTGGTTGTTTCTGCTTGGAATCCTGCTATGAGCTCCATATTACGCCAGAGCCACAGGAAGGAGTAACAGTCGTAAGGAGAGGAAAAACTCAGGAAATGCTTGTTGACTGAACAACTGATGGCAATTTTATGCAGAGTAATAAAAATCAGTGCAGGTAAATACAAATAAAAACCTAGGCTTTCAATATATTCAGAGACTGGAGCAAATAATATGAGTTGGAACAGAAAGAAGCCACCTGGAAATGGTGAAAGACTGGATTAGAAACAGCTGTTTAGGCTTGTGTTTTTTAACTTCTTCATCATAATCCATAATAAGAAATAATGCTGGACGTGGTAGCTCCCACCTGTAATCCTAGCACTTTGCGAGGCTGAGGCAGGAGGATCCCTGGAGGCCAAGAGTTCCAGACTACCTGGGCAATACAACAAGACTCCATGTCTACAAAAATAAGAAATAAAAAATTTAGCTAAGCATGGTGGTGCATACCTGTAGTCCCAGCTACTTGGGAGGCTGATACAGGAGGATCACGTGAGCCCAGGAGTTCAAGGCTGCAGTGAGCCATGATGGAGCCACTGCACTCCAGTTCAAGGCCGCAGTGAGCCACGATGGAGCCACTGCACTCCAGTTCAAGGCTGCAGTGAGCCACGATGGAGCCACTGCACTCCAGTTCAAGGCCGCAGTGAGCCACGATGGAGCCACTGCGCTCCGGTTCAAGGCCGCAGTGAGCCACGGTGGAGCCACTGCACTCCAGTTCAAGGCCGCAGTGAGCCACGATGGAGCCGCTGCACTCCGGTTCAAGGCCGCAGTGAGCCACGATGGAGCCGCTGCACTCCGGTTCAAGGCCGCAGTGAGCCACGATGGAGCCGCTGCGCTCCGGTTCAAGGCCGCAGTGAGCCACGATGGAGCCGCTGCGCTCCGGTTCAAGGCCGCAGTGAGCCACGATGGAGCCACTGCGCTCCGGTTCAAGGCCGCAGTGAGCCACGATGGAGCCACTGCGCTCCAGTTCAAGGCCGCAGTGAGCCACGACGGAGCCACTGCGCTCCAGTTTGGACAACAGAGCAAGACCCTCTCTTTAAAATAAATTTAAAAAAAACAAATACATATTACATTAAAATTTATCCAGCCCCCCCCAGCACACAAACACAAATACAAACACCTATAGAATTTAAATCAAAATTTCACTAAGAATATACACATTTGTTCCAAGAACCCTGATATATTTTATTCTATTCCATGCATTTAAAAAATGATGGCAGTCCATAAATTGATGTAATTGATTATTAACAGTTTGCCAATGGTCTACACCTAGGAAATAGTAATAAGCGCTGAATTTGGCACCGGCAACTGGAATATTCCACATCCTAGAAACATTTCAGGTCCAGCTCTTTTTTCCTCTCTTTCCTGGATTTTCCCTGTCTCAGGCTCTGTAATACTACCCGTCGGGGAGGATGCCACAATGGCACAGATCTGGGTTTTTAAGCGTTTAACTGGGACTCATTTGATGAATCTTTATTTTTTCTGGTAAGCATGAGACCTCTCAAAGATGCTGACCTCTCATGATAAGAAGTTGTTTCCTGTCTCAGGGTGTCCCAGGAACATTAGATGCAAGAAATCATTGCCAAAACCAATGTCATGAAGCTTTTCTCCCGTGCCTGCTTTTACGAGATTTACGGTTTCAAATCTTATGTTTAAATTTTGAATTCATTTTGAGTTGATTTTTCTATACTATGTAAGATTAGGTTCCCATTTAATTATCTTGCATGTGCCTATCCAGTTTCCCAAAACCATGTGTTGAAGAGATCCTCTCATAGTTGGGTCTTCCTGGTACCCTTGCAGATGATCAGCTGATGATCTGTGCATGGATGTGGCACCAAAAGCAGAGGCGACACAAGCAAAAATGGACACATGGGACTATCTCCTACTGATAGGCTTCTGAGTAGCAAAAAAAATACGCAACAAAGGGAAAAGGTGACCCTACAATATGGGAGAAAATACGTGCAAACCATATACCTGAAAGAGACTGAAAATCCGAAAATATAAGAAATTTCCAAAACTCAACAGCAAAACAAACAACCAACTCAATTTAAAAATTGGCCAAGGGCTGGGCACGGTGGCTCACACTTGTAATTCTGGCACATTGGGAGACTGAGGCTGGTGGATCACTTTAGGACAGGAGTTCGAGACCAGCTTGGCCAACATGGTGAAACCCTGTCTCTACTAAAAATAAAAAAGATTAGCCAGGCGTGGTGGCACGTGCCTGAAATCCCAGCTACCAGGGAGGCTGAGGCACGAGAATCATCTGAACCTGGGAGGCAGAGGCTTGCAGTGAGCTGAAATCATGCCATTGCACTCCAGCTTAGGTAGCAGAGTGAGACTCTGTCTTTAAAGAAACAAAAAACAGTAGGCCAAGTATTTGATTATATGTTTTTCCAAAGAAGACACACAACCGGCCAGTAGGTATATGAAAAGATGTTCAACATTACTAATTATCAGAGGAATGCAAATTGAAACCACAATGAAATATCACCTCACACTTGCTGGGATGACTATTATAAAATAAAATAAAAGGTAAGTGTTGGTAAGGATATGGAGCAATTGGAACTCTTGTGCACTGTTGGAAGACATGTAAAATAGTACAACCACTATAGAAAACTATGGAGCTTCCTCAAAAAAATTAAAAATAGAACTACTGTATATTCCAGCAATCCTATTTCTGTGTATATGAAAAAAAAAAAGAATTGAAATCAAGATCTCAAAGTGGTATCTGCGCATTCACATTCATTTTAGCATTATTCATAATATCCAAGATTTGGGAGGAAAAAAACAAAAACTAAATATCCATACATGGATGAATGGATCAAAAAATATGGCACATACCTGCAATGAAATGTTATTCAGCCTCATAAAAGAAGGAAATTCTGCAGTGTGCAATAACAGGAATGAACCTGGGGGACAATATGCTAAGTGAAATAACTGCTGCTTACATGAGGTATCTAAAATGAACTCACAGAAGCAGAGAGTAGAGCAGTGATTTCCAGGGGCTGGGAGACGAGGAACTGGAGTGTTCCCGTACGTGTATCAGGTTTCGGTTATGCAATACGAATAGGTTCTAGAGCTCTTCTGTACAACATAGTGCCACGTGGTACACTTAGAATCTGCTGAAAGGATTTGAGAAAAGGAACACCAGCTGGCTCTCATCTGAGTAAAGCAAGGCCCTTTGCATTGCACAGAGGGAGAAAGAGCCTCAGACTCTCCTAGTTTGACAGGTCACATTCAGGGTCAGTGGCAGGGACATCAGCTCCCTTGGGCCAGTAAGCAGTCACCGGTTTTGGAGAGAACCGAGCTGAGACTTCTTTCACAAAGAGAAGGCACTCTCTCTCTCTTCCAGATTCAAAGAAAGTGCATCCAGCAGAAGCACCTCTGGGCTGCCACCTTCAGACCAGAAGAGACTGGCAAATTCACCGATTCCCATATGTGACTGCCCCAGACACTTGGCAACATGTTGCTTGGGAAGGAGCTGCTAACTCACATGCCGGAGCTACACAGAAAAAAATCAGTGCCCAAAATGTTGGTGCAATTAATTAAGTCTTCTTAAGAAAACTGAACTGTACGTTATCAGTAGTCGAGACGTCCAGGTCTGTTTCATAAGGAACTGGCTTCTGTGACCCAAGTCTGATCAGCCTGAAACAAGCTCGGTTCTACAGCATTGAGCCACAAAAGGTAGGTCGAAGTCCCTCTGTGGAAACCCTGGGCTCCTGCAGACCTATGGTTGTGCTATTTCCCAATGCCTTAGCTGCTTGGCAGGGCTAAGAAAGCAGGAGCTAACTGGGTCACATGGCAATGCCTGAGCCAATCACCCTTGCACTAGGATGGCACATACTGATGGGCCAGCCCTGGGCAGTGCTCACACCCTGCAGGTGTCTGGAGTCTGTGTATGAGGAATGTGGTCTGGCTATGGGAAAGCAGGGAGCTGTTTCAAAACCCATGGGAGGCCGGGCGTGGTGGCTCATGCCTGTAATCCCAGCACTTTGGGAGGCCAAGGTGGGTGGATCGCGAGGTCAAGAGATCGAGACCATCCTGGTCAACATGGTGAAACCCCGTCTCTACTAAAAATACAAAATAAAAAATGAGCTGGGCATGATGACGCATGCCTGTAATCCCATCTACTCAGGAGGCTGAGGCAGGAGAATTGCCTGAACCCAGGAGGTGGAAGTTGTGGTGAGTCGAGATTGCGCCATTGCACTGCAGCCTGGGTAATAAGAGCGAAACTCCATCTCAAAAAAAAAAAAAAAAAACCCAGGGTATAGGACTTCAAGGAAGAAAAATAAACCATTTCGATTACATAGAGTGTGGAGGATTCGCAAACATTTCTGAATTCTCAGGAGCACTTCCCAATGCTTGGAACACAGTTTCTGGACACTTTCAGTGCACAGTAGACTGGCCCCCGCTTATCCACAAGGATGTGCTCCCAGACCCACAGTAGACGCCTGATGACGGGAGAGTACCAAGCTCTCTATATGCCATGTATTTTCCCATACATACAGGCCTATGATAAAGTGTAATTTAGGAATTAGGCACTGGAAGAGGTTAACAAATAAGCACTCATAATAAACTAGAACAATGCAGACAACATACTGTAATAAAAGTTATTTGAATGTTTCTCTCTATCTCCCTCTCGAAAGTCTTTATTGTGAGCAATATTTCCAGGCCGTGGCCGACCATGAGTAACTGAAACAGAGGGTAAGAGAGGACTTTATGTAGACTACAATATAATACTCATCATTAGATGCAAAAGTCTTTTTACACAATGGTAAAGCACAGCACAACGTTCTTTTAGTAAGGAAGCAGGATATGCACAGAATGACACACTTTCACACACACAAAAATGGTGGCACTCTCTCATGCACGCATGCACACGCTCACGAGCACCCTGAGCAAAGCCTACATTTTGCAAAAACAGACACTCTCCCAAGCTCTGACCCTGGTCTCTCAGGACACACTTCACTCAGGAGGTGTGATTTCACCATCAGCCAACATGCCAATTCTTCTAATCCTGTTTCTGAAATACCTAATAAGACTAGAATTTTATAAGAAAAGATTTTTCTAAGCCTTCTGCCCTAATGGACCTTTCAGAATACTAATTCTTCCATTTCTGACATGTGTCCTTGAACTAAGTCCATTTTGTTCTTGCTTTTAGGCCCTGTAATTGATAGGCAGACAGTAATTAGCTCAAAAAGGTACACTCTGGCAAGCACACAACTTACAACTAAATCATCCTTTTGACGGTCAGCATGCCCCTCCTATCCCGCTCTTTTCTGGAAGGTAGGTTTCCCTCAACGTTTTCAAAACGAGCTAACTCCTGGCCCATGTTAAGAAAAAATCTCTCTCTCTTCTCATTTTCCTTTCCTGGATACCTGGACAGGGCTGAGGACCCAAGCACCAGTGACTGCAAGGTTAGGGTGTCAAGAAAGACACTTTCCCTTCTCTCCTGGAGGGACAGCCTGTGAGCCTGAGCCCACTGACGTCCCTTTCTAAAGGACACAGTGTTATCCAATGTGTCTCCGTGGCAGACTGTAGATAAGGAGACAGAGTTCTGCATCTGGCACCAAACTGGGAGTCTCTGTTCAGAGACCCTCAGCCCTCTCCCTCCCTCGCTGTCTGGGTTGGACTTGTGGAGGGTGAGTGAGCTTCCTACAAAGGCCACACTCTTGTTCTTCCCATCAATGCTGGATTCTGGCAGGACCACAGGTCCTTTGTGAAGATGAAACGGTCAGCTGTAATTATTTTTACCATATTTGCACAGCTACCCTTTTCTCATCCTTTGAGTTCAACAGATATCTCTTTTGGTTGCAAGTTACAGAAACCCAAACGGAAAAGACTCAGACCTAAGAGAAATGTATGGGCTCCTGAAACCGTATGTCACAAAGAGACGCGGCCAGAGCTAGGGTGTGACCCCGGCTCTTTCTTGGTTTCTCCTCATCGCTTCTCTCTGTCCTGCAGCCACACACTCTCAGACGGGATTCTTTCAAGAACTGCAAATGTGCCTGCAGATGCTTTTGGTCCCTTTTCTTTTCTTACAGGATGGGGTGACGGTCCCACATCTCCTACTGTCACCCAGGAGTTAGGAACTCCTTAAGGTAAGGAGTCATTTCTGATTCGGCCTGGTACACATGGTGTCAAGCAGAAAGCCTGGTAGTTATACTTACCGAACAGCTGCTGGCTGAGTGAAGCGGGAATGTCAAAATGGAAATTTGATCAGAAAACGTTAGCCAAATGGGGGGAAAATGTGATTTTTGTTTGTGTTATATGGTGACATTGGGTTGATTACCCCCACAGGTTTGTTTTTTAAGGAATTAATCGCGAACTCCCATTTTGTCATGTTTAGTCCTTTACAATGAGCTTTCACCTAGGCCGACGCAATTTTCACACCACCCACCTGAGCAGGTGGATCATTTCATGTGTTTCTGGGTTTGATGACAAACTTCCAGAGGCTGGAGCCCAGCAGCCTCTCATGGGGTGTCTCATGGGGGTGTCTCATGGAAGTTTCTAACCCCTGGGGTCCTTAATCTCCTCATCTGTGATATGGGGGAGAAAGCAGCAGTAATAGTTTCCACCCCTACCCCCAAGCACGTTGTAAGAATGGATGAGATGCTATAATGAATTGCCACCACCAGCAGCTTAAAACAGCATTAATTTTTTCTCTCGCACTTTCACAGGTCAGAATTCCATTGTGGGTCTCACTGGGCTTCAGTCAAGGCCTCTGAAGGGTGATGCTTCTCTCTGGAGGCTCCAGGGGAAGATGCTTCCTTGCTCGTTTGGGTTTCTGGCAGAATTCAGCTTCCTTCATTGTAGAACTGAGGTCCCCGCTTCCGCGTTGGCTGTTGGCTGAGGGTCATTTGCAGCTTCTGGAGGCCGTCAGGGCTCCTTGCTCATGGCTCTTTCCTCCATCTTCAAATCCAGCAATGCCAGGTCAGGTCCCTCTCACCCTCCAAACCATCTCTGCCTCCACTGCTGCATCCCTAGGTCTTTTCTGATTCACTCTCCTGGATCATCCAAGATAATCTCCTTATTTTCAGGTCAGGTCAGTTCAGTGCCATGTGACATATCCACAGGCATAAAGGCAGTGGGGGGAAGATCACAGGGTCCCAAATCCCACCTGCCACAAGGACTTGGGCTTCCTACTGGCGAATCTCAGCACTGGACTTCTAAAAACTGGGTTTGTCGTGGCTGAGAAATACAGTGATTGCAAGAGCAGATTCTGATGCCAGACTTGGCCAGGGTTACTCCCGTCTCCCACACTTCCTAGTTCTGTGATCTGGGGAAAGTCACTTACTGCCAAATACATCAGTCTCCCCACCTGAAATATGGAATATAATCACGTGTCTTCCTCATAGGCCCTTTGTGAAGATGAAATCCAACTGTCAGCTATCATGATTATTACCATATTTGCACAAATATTTGCATTTTACTGGTATCTTTTCTACCTATTATTGAAAAGCTATCTCTAGAACAGTTTACAATCATCCCAAGCACAAAGCAAGGATGATGATAATGAGCTTTTACTTTGAGTAGCAAGTATTTTGTCTACATTACATAAGAGTACCCTAAAAAAACCTCTGTGAAATGGATACACCCATTTAACACATGAGGAAACGGAGATGAGAAGAGGTAAGGGGCTTGAGGCATATCGTTGGATATCCTAGACCAGTAGGGGTGGGGAATATCTGCCCCAATGAGCAAGTGGGACAATGGAACCCTATGAGGCATCATTACAATCTAGTATATTTTTGTAGATAAAATAATTTCTACTCAGAGTAAAAGCTTGTTATCATCATTCCTGCCTTGTACTTGAGATGATTGTAAACTTTGTTCTAGAGATAGATATCTAGTAATAGGTAGAAAAGACACCAGTGAAATAAATAAGTACAAATCTTTGTGTAACTATGGTGATAATGATTGTAGCTGACATTTATTTTTCATCTTCACAAGAGACCTATGAGGCAGACACAAACACAGCAGCCACACTGATATATAGAGCTGCAGTTTCGTATGGGAATGAGTTTTACATCTCAGGTGTTGGGGAAAAGGGGTGGAGAAACTTTGCACCAGACCAGTGATTTCCAGCTCTGTCTATACATTAGAATCAAGTGGACAGCTGAAAAAAACAGACCAAGGTCCAGCCCCTACCCCAGTGAGAGTCCAACTTAATCTGGCACCGACTGACAATATTCTTTAAAGCTCCCCAGTGAGATTCTAGTTTATGCTAAGTATTGACAACCATTGGACCAGACCAGGAGTTCCCGGAGGATTAAAATAATGTGTATTTCATCACCGTATCTCCTAAAATGCCTCAACTGCGTATCATGAAGTAAATATTTTATTTAAAAAGGCAGGGAGCCCCACTCCAGGCAACCTGAATTCTGCCCTGCGCCTCACCTGTGACCTGCAGTCTCAATGCTCAGGGTGTGGTTCTACCATCTCTCCTTTACTTAGGTTCACTGCATCCCATTCTGAAATTCCACTTTTGTGAAGGCCTCAAGGGAAGTTGTGCCCACAATCCCATTCCTGAGCTTCCCAGGCAGAGGTCGCTCTTCACCTCAAGCTCTTCTTCTCTGCTTATTCTCCAAATCCACCCACATTCCACTTGCCACTGAGGTTTCTGGACAGCGGGTCTCAGCTCCCCTAATGGACTAGAGATCCTTAAAGGCAGGCCCAAGCCAGATCAATCTCAGCACCCATAACCTGTGGAGTTTATTGAACACCCTGCACACAGGAGGTGCTCAACGAATGTGCTGAATAATGTAGGGAAGGAAGGACTGAAATCCAGGTAGAAGCTCACGTCGTGTTACACCCACTACAGTCCTGCCAACTGGAAGGACGTGGGCAAGGACTGAAGGGAGGTCTAAATAAATAGATTCCAGAGAGCAGGGCCCTGGGAGAGCCTCCGACATCCTGAGGAGCGGAAAACCACTGTCAATCCAGCCAAGGATTGGAGGACAAGGATTGTTGTTCTCAAGGAGAACAGCTCCACGTGTTTCCCCTTGCAGCTCTTTCTCCTCATTCCCAGCAAAAAGAAGAGAGTCTGATTGGCCAGACCTGAGTCTGACGACTATGGCTGCAAGCTGGGGCACTTTGACCAACAGCCACACCTAGAGGGTATTCATGATGGGAGGTGTGGTTCCTGAAGGGAAAATGGAGGCACTGCCCCAGAAGGAGGGATAGGTGCTGGTCAGGCAAAAAATATAAGTATTTTTTGTGAAATCCTCCTCCATACTTTCAGTCCCTTTCTGTGGGATGGAGGAAAGAAGATTCAGGTTGGAAGTAAATGTGGCTGGGTGGGGGTTCCATGACAATTCTTTTCTATGGGTTATTCATGAAATGCTTCACACCTGGGTATTATTCCTGTAAACCTTCCCTCTTCCCCACCTGACACCCAGTCAATCACACACCTGCAAATGAACCTTTGTTTCTTCACCCACATGCTGGGGTGTGGTCACACTGGTATCATCTTCCCCCCCCAGTTCTGGCTGCTATCCCTGCACTGGCCCACATTAGAGCCTACCTTCTCTCTGATGGGTCCTCCACGAAGCCTTAGCACATGAATGACAGCTATCATGTGCTTTCTAGGCTCTCTACTCATTATTTTATTCAAAATATTAAGGAAGGACAGTGGCTGTACCCATAGTCCCAGCTACTTGGGAGGCCAAGGAGCTCGAGTCCAACCTGGACAACATAGCAAGACCCTCACATTTAAAAAAAAAAAGGAAGGAAGGACTTTTTGGGTCTCTCTTTCTCTTGTTGAGATACGGTTTCATTCTGTTGCCCAAGCTGGAGTGCAGTGGTGCTAGGTCACTGTAACCTCGACCTCCTCAGATCAGTCAATCCTTCCACCTACCACACCTGGTTGATTAATTTCTTGACTCTCTCTTGACCCTGCTAGGTATCTTTTCCTCCAGGTTCTTTCTGTTTTGTTGTATTTTTTTTCTTCCCACCTTTGCCTTTCCTGTTAGAGGTTTTCCTCCAGTGTTTGGGGGTTCTTCGCTGACTGTTCATATTTAAAGGTGAGAAACAGGCCGGGCATGATGGCTCAAGCCTGTAATCCCAGCACTTTGGGAGGCCGAGGCAGGTGGATCACGAGGTCAAGAGATCGAGACCATGCTGGTCAACATGGTGAAACCCCGTCTCTACTAAAAATAAAAAAAAAAAATTAGCTGGGCATGGTGGCGCGTGCCTGTAATCCCAGCTACTCAGGAGGCTGAGGCAGGAGAATTGCCTGAACCCAGGAGGCGGAGGTTGCGGTGAGCCGAGATTGTGCCATTGCACTCCAGCCTGGGTAACAAGAGCGAAACTCCGTCTCAAAAAAAATTAAAAAATAAAGGTGAGAAACTGAAAAGTCTCCCTGAAATTCTGGGTCCAATAGCAGGACTTGACCAGTGGGGGCATTCCTGGAGGATAATGTGGCTCGGTTGGCTCAGGGGTCACTGTCAGTATTCACAGCTTCCTGTTTGCCATTTCCACCCAGGCTCCTCTGTCTCCGCAGAGACTCCAGCCTGGAGGGAGGGCGTGGAGGGAGCTGGTGAACCTGGCTGCCTGCATTCTGCAGCTGACCTCCAGTGGCGACCAGGGCTGCATCCAGGCTGGTAGTGGGATTAGGGGGATGGTATCCAGGGGTTCTAGAATTTCTTAGGGAACCTGCTGCACTCATGCCTCCATTTTCAGTTGGTCATGGTGCCCTGAACACCTGAGACTTTTCACTTCTCTGCACAATGAGCTTAACTTCGTTTTGGTGGTCCCCAGTTCCGGGTTAACCTGTCTGTGGTTGGCTATGTCAGTTACGGCTTAATCCATTTTGCAACTCTCAAATTCTGTCACTGCCATTTTCTCTACCTCTGCTTTGTTCTTGTGGGTTTATGTCATCTCCCACTTTTAAAATAAAATGACTTTCCTGTATTGTAATGATATTTCTGAGGAAAGTAAAATAGCGCAATGGAAATAATTATGTTTACCTAGAACCTACATGAACTTTTTATTTGAATGTACAGATTAGAGACATGGAGAGGAAATTACGTTGACAATTCAGTGCTGCCCCTGAAGACACAGGTCTCTCTCTCTCGCTCTCTCTCTCTCTCTCTCTCTCGGAAAACCACTGGTCTCAGGGGTTAGTAGTGAGGTGGGACTGGGCACCTACTGGTTGGGTAATGTCCAGCAAGTGACTTAGCCTCTCTGGATTGCACTTTCTCTATCTGGAAAATGAGGATGGTCATAGTGTTTTTTCTTGCCTGGGGCCATTGTGAGGATAAAATGAGTTAACAAATGGAAACACCTATAACAATATCAGGCACCTAATAAATGCCATGTTTGCTATTTTACTTTTTGGTTTCAGGTAGAGGAAAGGTTCTCATTCATATAGACTGAAGTGCACTAGCTCAGTCTGTCACCAACTGCAAAACAGTTTCATCAAGTTAAGAAAGACAAAGCTTGGCTCCATATGATTCCAACTGTCCCTTCTTCTTTCTCATCTATTTATTCCTGACCCCCATGATATGAGTCAGGGAGGCAGAATCTCTTTTTATTTTATAACCTTGTTTTCCTTGGTTGGTGTCACACCATTAAACCAAATGCACATCCCTGCCTTTAGAAATTCAGCATAGCTGGGACTTTAATATCTCTGCAGATGGATGAGGGCAGCAGCAGTCAAGAATGTGGCTTAAAGTGAAATCCCCTTTTCATGAGCCCATGAAGACAAATGACAGGGGTCAACTGCCAGCAGTCAAAAGGGCCATTAGCATTTTCTTTATTTTAGAAATATTTCAGGCACTTCTTCAACTGCTCTCCAGTCAGCTAGCTGGGTATTTTGTACGTGACATCCTTCCAAGTTTTGCCCAGCTGTCTGAAACCACGCCAGGGAGTGACCACAGAAAAAGTACTATTGAATTCAACAGACAGCGACTGGATTGGATTAAATAGTTCATTTGACATTTAAGAATCCCTCTGATGCCACTTTTCAGGTTGTACTCCTGCTGAAATGTTGTCATGAACTTATTCTGGCTCCTGTCTTTTGCTAAAAGTCACCTTACTTAAAAGTCAAATTTAAATTCAGAAGCATTTCCAGCACAAATATTTGACTTATACTGAAAAACCAGAAACTCTGATCCTACCGGCCGCACCTGCCCCCATGGCAGGAACCAGCTGGAGCTGAGGAGCCAGCACGCTTCCAGATGGGGCTGTCCACTCACAGTCCTCACCACTACCTGTTCTCTAAATATATTACATGACTGGTCCCTGAAAGCCTTTGGATGTGTGACCCCTGCTCACATTTACTCCTCAAAAACATTAATCCCTTGTTATGTTACAAGAACTGTACTAAACCCTGGAAATAGAAAGACGGACACAGAACAGCATCCTTTTCCCCAAAGAACTCAGAGTTAATCACAGGAAACGTGTAGAAAAGAGCAGGACCTAATCAAGTGATAGGTGGGGCATAGGGAAGACCAGAAGCTATGAGGACCTGGAGAACAGGCTTATTGCAATTGCATCGGTCAGAGGGAAATTCCCAGGGCACATGATGCCTGTAACAGGTAGAAGTGATGAAAGCAGAGAAGCAAGGACCTTTCTTCCAGGCACAAGGAGAAGCATGAACTAAAAGAGCACCGTAACATCATGAAACTGTAAGCATTTCCTAACCCTCTAATGACTCTAAATTCAGGAGCACTTAATGGCTCAAGTGTAATTTAAAGTCTTTTAACACTTTTCTGTAAACCCCAGGTAATTTAATGCTATGTCATTGACTTAACTCTCTATTTTACAGCACTAATGACCAGCTGACTGCAGTTCCACATGAGCAAAGGCTGTCTTAGTCGCTTTTCATCCACAGAAGTGCTGGGTTCATGAGGGGACCCAGCCAAGGGTCCTACCTGCTGGTGTGGCTGCCTATCTGAGTGTGTGAGCTAAGAGGAGAATTTCAACAGAAATGAAATAGCAAAGGCTATACCGTTGGTTACCCGTTCTTCTGACTCCGGACTATAATGCTCTCCCTGTCAGAGCGGAGTGTTGGCCGCTCTGGTGCCACAGTACCGAGCGCAATGTCCCCAGAAAACAAAACAAACAGGTGTACTTTACTTTTAGTTTAATGAACCTGCTAAAGTTTACATCTGTCCCCCAAAGTTTACGTGCTGGAAAGTTAATCCCCAACGTAATAATATTGAGAGAAAGGGTCTTTAATAGGTTACCATGGCTCTGCTGTCATGAGTGGATTAACGTGATAGCTCAGGAGTGAGTTTCTATTAAAGCGTGTTTGCCCCTCCCTTGCCCTCTCTCACTCTGCCCTCACTTGCCCTCTGCCTTCTGCCATGGGACGATGCAGTAATTCGGCCCTCAGCAGATGCCACTGCCATGCTCCTGTGCCTTCCAGCCTCCAGAAGTATGGGCCAATCAGTTTCTACTCGTTATAAATGAACTGTGTCGGGTACTCCGTTATAGCATCACAAACACACTAAGGAAGACAGTCGATCAATAAATGAAGGCGATGCGGAAATTATTCCTCAAAATAAAAGAAAATGAGGTTGCAAAAGCTGTTTCTCTAATCCAGAAGCTGGCGAACGTTTTCTTAAAGAGTTATATAGTAAATATTTTATGTCTCTGCTGCACCTAAATATAACATCATGCTCAATGTTTCTGTTACAAGGTTATTAGATTATCTTACAGGGCGAAAGCAGCCACAGATACTATGCAAATAAATGAAGGTGGCTTCGTTCTAATACAACTTAATAAACACTGACATTTCCATTCTAAGTTTATTTGCGCACATTGCAAAATAATATCTTGTTTCAGTTTAATTTCAACATTTAATAATTTAAAAGTAATTCTTAATTCATAGCTCATACAAAACCAGGTGGTGTGTTATATTTGGACCTCAGAAGGCCATTTACTGAGCACTGCTGAGTCACTGTAAGCAGATTCTCAGCTCCTGGAGCTCAGCTGGGGAAAGCTAATCACCTGTTGAGTGTAGACCTTCTGTCTTTCATTAACAGAAACTAATATATATGGAAAAATCAATCTGTTTTAACTTAATCTAATGTGGTTGTTAAGGGCTCCTCTGCCTTTATTATCTAATGCAGAAGGACAGGCAATAAAATTCCACACGGACTCCACTGGGAAGCCAAACAATTAAACAACTAGGCAATTAATGGTATCATTAAAAACTTTCACATTATATTATTTAGTACTCATCAAGAAAGGTTGGACTTCCATAATTCAAACGCCCTCACTAAATGTCATTACTTGGAGCCAAATACTCACACAGAGGCACAAGGCAGGATGGGGCAAGGGGTGTGGAGTCTTGGAGTCATTCTCGCTGGACTAGGGGCCTGATGAGCAGGGGGCAGCCCCAAGAAGCCATAACGTAACATAAGGCTCTAGTGGACCCTTTCATTTTCATCATCTCTGAAGACCACTCTGAAACTCCTTCCCAAACTGTCCCTAAAAAGCAGCTTACAGACCACGTGGCTACCATGACAGCTGATCACTGATACTTCTTAATAGCTGGCTGACCCAGCCACACTCAAGGGATTCCAGCCTAGATAGGTATCATTCACCCTCTTTCTTTCACAAGCTAGACATACTACTCAAGCCAGTGCATGCCTTCTGCCTTCCAGACTCCCCAGAGGTACAGCTTCTGCCTTTAGCATGCACTTCTCTGGTCCCCACTGGAGGTTGATTCAGTAGGTTTGGGGTGGGGCCTGGGAATTTTCATTTCTAACTTCTTCCTCAGCATAACATTATCACCCGAGAATTGGGACATGTCTGTTACCAAAGCAACTAGAGTGATGCTTCACGTGTGGTCTCAGCCCAGCCTCTGCTCTGTTTACCCAACTCCATCTGGGCCCTGCTTCTCACTCCTGTGGTCAGATGACCACTTTCCTTTTTTACTTCATCTTTATAAGATCAACCCAGCAGCCTTTGTGTAGGATGGCTTAAAAATGATGTCATTCACCGTCTATTTCTTCACTCCCATCTAGTCTCCTAAACTTCCTCCTTCCAGCATACCCTGTCTTCTTACCTTGCACTCTGTGGACAGACCTCTTCATCAATGCCCACGCATCACTCAACTCCAGACCCTGGAATTATCTCACCGTGACCTCTACCTTTTCCACTCAGAGAAAGCTGCATTGTCTGTCAGTCTCTCATCAAGGTGTACAAAGCTGATCAAACGACCTCAGTCAAGGTATAAATGACTGATATGCCTCTGTATTCCAAAGGGATATTTGTTCTTTATCAGCAATGCCATCTAAGCAACCAGATTTGAGGATATTCCAAGAAAGCGTTGGAAAGGGGACTGCAGGGAAGGGTGTTTTCAGGTCTCTTGATTAAGGAGGAGGCCTGGGTTGCACCATCTGATGCTCCCATTTGGGCATTAATTTTCTGAACTAAAGGTCAAACCAAGCACAGAGGGTATGAGCTCAAAAAGTGGACAGTGTAGAAAAAGAATCACTGTGATCTGAGAATGCTGGCCTTGGTCCACCAAGTGCAAAACTTAGAGTGAAACACGTTCCCACCGTGAGCCCTGTTGTCCTCATGCACTAAACAGGGATAATAACACCTCCTGCCCAGCCAGGGAGAACTTCTGGCACATGGATTGGAAGGAAATACATGCACCCCTCCACTGATCTTCTTTAAATGTTTGCTCAAAATTAATTCGAAGACTAATTTGGAAAGGCTAAGAACACCCAGGGGTGGAACATTCATTTCTCCATCAATGCTATAAGCAATTCTGCTCCTGCCCCTAGTGTACAACCCACCTAGATAAAGCAAAACCTGTGAAGTTTGCTGGACCCTTCCCAGATAGGACAGAATTTTGTCTTTCTAGCTAGAATCAGGTTTTCACTCTATCAGGTCCCATAGAACATTAGTACATTTATCAAAACTAAGAAGCTAACTTGGGGGCATGGTACTGTCCAATAAACCCCACACTTCATTTCTATTTAATCAGGTTTTTTTTTTTTTTTTTTTTTTTTGAGATGGAGTCTCACTCTGTCACCCAGGCTGGAGTGCAATGGTGCAGTTTCTGCTCACTGCAACCTCCCTCTCCCAGGTTCAAGCTATTCTTCCGCCTCAGCCTCCCGAATAGCTGGGATTACAGGTGTGTGCCATCGTGCCCAGCTAATGTTTGTATGTATTGCACCAGCTTTTTTACTGCCGATCTTATTTTAGGATCCAAACCCGGATATCATGTTGAATTTACTTACCACGGCTCCTTAGTCTCTCCTGGCTCATGGCTGCTTCTCAGACTTGCTTTGTTGGCCATTATCTTAAGAGAGGTTTGATGACTATTGGCCAGTGTTACTGATATTTTACAGAATATTCTCAATTTGGGTTTGTCTGATCCTCTTCACATGATTAGACTGAGGTGATGTGTTTTCAGAGGAAGGCTGCAAATGTAAAGTGCCATTCTCACCACATCATACGAGGACCACGTATTGTCAATATGACTTGTCACTGTTGGTGTTAATCTTGATCACCTGCTTCAGGCAGTGTTCGTCGTATTTCTTCATTCTACATTATTCTTTCTATACTTTTCCAACTCTATTCTTTGGAAGCAAATCACTAAATCCAACTCTCATTCACGGGAGGGATGGTGAAAATTAAACTCCAGCTCCTAGAGAAAGGAGACAGAGGAGCTACATAAATGTTTTGTAATTCTTGCTCAAGAGAGATTTGTCTTTTCTTCCCCTCTATTTACCTGTTCAGTCATTTCCTTATATTAGTAGGGACTTACAGATCTTCACTTTACGTTTGCTCGCTCCGAGTGTTCCCACTGCAGTCCTCCAGAGCTTGTTGGGCTTGTCACCTGCTCCTTTGACATGCCCCAATCTTTTGATGTTTTGAGCCCCCTCTTCCATTCGTCCCTATGGCTCTTCTTGTATCTTCCAATTATTTTTAAGTGGATTTTTGACATTGAAACCTTTGTCATAGAAACACTTCTTTAAAAACCAATATTGAAAATGTATGGAGTTTGAAATTTTATAGTCTTTGTTTTTCTATCAATACAGTGAGATGGAACGTGATTATGGAAGAAAACATTTTCTTCCCAGGGCTACTAGATGAGTCTAAGAAGATCTGAAAGAAGAATACAGTTTTTGGGTCAGGTGCAGAGGCTTATGCCTGTACCCTGGGAGGTCAAGGAGGGCAGATCACTTCAGGTCAGGGGTTTGAGGCCAGCATAGCCACCATGGTGAAACCCCATTTTTACTAAAAACTCAAAAATTTGCTGGGTGTGGTACATGCCTGTAGTCCCAGCTACTTAGGAGGCTACGGCAGAAGAATCGTTTGAACCTGGGAGGCAGAGATTGCTGTGAACCAAAATCATACCACTGTACTCTAGCCTGGGCTACAGAGCAAAACTCTGTCTAAAAAAAAAAAGAATACAAAGTCTTTGTCTATATAAAATTACCTTCCCCAATCTGAGTGAGACAAAACAATGGCCAATTCAATTAGCTCAGAGTCATACAAAAAGTAAAACCCAAATTTACGTAACATGGAATCAACCAACCTGCACAACTTCAACCTGCCCACCCTCTGTAAGGAACATCAGAGGACTCGGAGTCAAATCAGAACTCCTAGCAGTGCATAATTCCTACTAAGGAAAGAAATCATAGATTAGTCTTGGTCTTCTGGACATCCTGCAGGTTCTCTCATTATCGCACTCCACAAGCCAACGTTGACCTCAAGCAAGAGTCGAAGTATGGTGACACAGCCACACCATGACATTTCACAAGGACTTGGAGCAGAAACTGCTATTTGTAAGACCTATCACCTCCGGAGACATCACAGACACTCACAATCAGCAAAGCCATCTTTCCTCTTAGGTCTGGAGTCTGTGGGAAAGAGCCATTCTCATCCTCACCTGATTATCTGATTGAGTCCCAGGTTCAATGGGGCCAGTGACCAACCTCACAGCATATGACTGTCCACCCACTAGTCTCTGCTGCCTCCTGAGAGCCACAGCAACCTTGGGGGAGAGGCAGACCCTGGAGCCCAGAGACCTTTGTCTTATCTGTTTAGGAGGGGCAGCTAGACATCCTTTCACATGTAGTGCAGGATCAGAAAGAAAATTGAAATGATAGAAAATTTATTTCCCAGGTAAAATCACCAGGCTTCTGGCTACATGTCAATATATTCCAAAATACAAACCAACTCAATGGAAGTGAGGGAAAAAGAGAGGTTGAGAGATTTGGCATATTTTGGAATATTCCTTTGGAATTTTGGAATATACCATATTTCTGAATACAGCAGATTGTAATCTTCCAAAAACATGTATCATGTTCAACTTGAGTACTATTCTTGCAAGTGCTTTTATGCCTATATAAAATGTATCCTTGATGTGTTATTATGACATATGCATGACATAAACCACGTATTACAGACAAATTCATGGTGAAAAATATCAGTCTTCCTCCTACTCTTCTCTACCTCCCCCCAAGAAAAGAGCTATTTGAATTTTTTTTTGTTTTTTGAAACGGAGCTCTGTCGCCCAGGCTGGAGTGCAATGGCAGGATCTCAGCTCACTGCAACCTCCACTTCCCAGGTTCAAATGATTCTCCTGCCTCAGCCTCCTGAGTAGCTGGGATTACAGGCACCTACCACCACACCTGGCTAATTTTTGTATTTTTAGTAGAGATAGACCAGGTTGGCCAGGCTGGTCTCGAACTTCTGACTTTAGGTGATCCACCTGGCTCA